ACGAAAGGTTCCCCGACCTCAGTTTCTCCTTAGGATAAATCCAGTTGCTTGATCTGGCATCAAGCATACCTTGGTGACATGGAGTGAATGGCAGTCAGTGAGCAACAGACACTAGACATACATCACACATTAAAGATGCCACATGCATGCAAAGCTTAGATTCTCTGTCCTAAGGTTCTCGATACGCGGATTTGTCCTATCATCCATCAAAGTGTGAAAAACAGCTCTTATCTTTCATTAGCTGCATAGAGTACGCACCATGCCAAGACTCTCTGAAAGCCCCGAGCATGCCTGAATAGAGCTCCTGCACACAGAGAAACCATTTATTTACAGAGCTCCTCCTATTCTTAGAAAAGGATCAAACACTTCATGGGGCTTAAAAAGTCAGGTGGCTCTACAGAGTAGTTTTTCCAAGAACAGTCTTGGTTTATACTGTGATCCAAGGTTAGTTATTAATAATGTCCCTTTGTATTCTCAAAAATGTCCCAGTTTGGATACTTCTGATTCTGGCTTAACTTCACCCAAAACAGTAAGAGCAATCACTGTTTCTCACAACATAACTGCTATCAGGACCATTACTTTCCTAGTTTTACAAATGGGAAAAATGATGCTCTGAGAAGTGAATCGACAAAGGCATTGGCAAACTGGGGAGAGGAGCAGAGGTTTAAACTGGAGCTTCAGACCCGCCCTGCTTTCCCCCACTCTCTGACAGGGTCCTAACCACATAGGACTGCAGGATTATTCTACAAACACTGTTCCCAATTCTGGACTCCCCCTCCTTCCCTAGCTCATGCCCACATACCCTGGTGTCAGCAGAGCTGTCACTGACAGTTCTGAGACACCTTCTCAGACCTGTCCCCAATATAGGTTCTCTGTGGTACCTATACAATAGGCACTTCACTCCCCTCATAACATGCACACAGACAGTCTTCACATATCTATTAGGTAGCTGGTATATACCAGGCCCTGTTGCAGTGTCTGGGGACATAGCTAAGGACAAAATGGCAATTACCAGAGTAAGGAAGAGACAGGAAGGAAACAAATATACTGTATAATACAATTGGATGCTCACATTCAAAAGATACTCCTACAACCAGTCTTCTCAAAAACTCAGTTCCACACTTTGAGAGCTATTAAAACCAATGTCGTGTCACTTTATTCTCAACAACTATTTATTTCTGAATCTTAAGGTACCTCACTTAAGGTGAGGATAGGGACAACCCTGCCTATGAGGACTCTCATTTATTTCTTAGGGGACCCTCCTGGCCTGGGTTTCTTTAGTCCTTCAAGGGCCAAATGAGCAGCAGTTCTCCAATGCATTGACCCCACAAAAAGGTATGTAAGACGAAGCAATGAATTCAGGAGTAGCGTCAGCCCCATGGATTCTGACATTTGGAGATGAGGTGTCAAATGATTTGGCTGAAAGCTAATTGGTTAGCACTTAATTGGCAAGATGTGGAGTGATTAGAACACTGGCACCTCAAAGTGGGGAGAAATGAAAAATGCTCCAGCCACTGTGGGAAACAGTATGGTGGGTCTCCAAAGATTAAATATAGAATTACTATATGATCCAGCAATTCCACTTCTGGGTATGCATGCGAAAGAACTGACAGCAGGATCAGAAACAGATACTTGCATACTCATCTTTCTAGCAGCACTATCTGCAACAGTCAAGAGGTGGAAACAGCCCATGTGACCCTAAGAGGTAAATGGATAAGCAAGATGTGTTGTATACATATGGCAGAATATTATTCAGTTTTGAAAAGCAGGGAATTTTTGATACATGCTATCACATGGATGAATGCTGAGAACATTAAGCTAAGTGAAATAAGCCAGTCAACAAAAATACACCTTTTCAGACACTTATAGGCATCATGCTGCATGAGTTCACTTTGAGGTTCCCAGAGCAGTGAAATTCACAGAGACAGAAAGTATGAGTGGTTGCCAGGGGCTGGGCAGAGGGGGGAGTGAGGAGTCAAGCATTTCATGGGTAGAGTTTCAGTTTTGCAAATGAAAAGAGCTGTGTGGATGGATGATGGCGATGGTTGCACAGCCTTGTAAATGTTCCTAACATCCCGAGCTGTGCACTTGAAATGGTTAAGGTGGCAAACTTTATGTCACATGTATTTTATCACAATATAAAATTTTAATTGGTAGGTTGTCTGTCACTGTGGTTTATAGCAAGAGTTTAGTGGTCCTACAAACCTCACTCTTCTACCTGGGCAAGTGACTTCGCCCTTCTGAGCCAACGTTTACTTATCTGAAAAATAAGAATAAAATCTAACTTATAAAGGCAAGTGCTGTACCACTTGAGCCTGCCCAGTCCTTTTCCTTTTCAGTTTGTTTTTTAGATGTGTCTCTTACTTTTGCCTGGGCTGGCCTGGTATTGAGATACTCCTATCTTCACCTCTGGAGTAACTGGGATTGCAGGCATGTGCCACCAGGCCCAGCTCTAATCTCTACTTTTAATTACAGATTTAACTTTACACACACGCACACACACACACACACACACACATACTCATATTTCTAACATTATCTCTTTGTACCACTGGGATTTTTCATCATATAACAATATGCCGAATCATTTAACATATGATTTGGGGGAAAATTATTTTAAGAATTATAGATTTAACCCTATAAAAAGGAAATCACCCGAAATAAATGGCAAATTTATTAACAAACCATCATGTTAGATTAATCTATCAGCAGCATTTTCAGAGACAAATGCATACGATCAATAACTCTAAAAAACTTCAATTAGATATTGCTTTAGAAGAAAGGACTTCTCTGTGGAAGTTTATTCTGAAATCCCTGAAGGTACAGACTGATACCTTAAAACCATACTCTTGATAGAAAATCCTGGGCCCGGTCCACAAGGAATCCATTATACAGAAGGTGAAAGAGGGAACATGTTACAACGGAATGAGGATCCTTTATGGAAATGACCAAGACAAATGGGCAATTTCAGTGGGCCTCCAGCGCCTGCTGTCAACCAAAGAAACAGAATACTAGTGTTGAAGAGCACGTTTGAGACCGTTCTGGGAAGAACCCAGGTAGGCGTGATGACCCACATTACTGCAATCCCTAACAGAGAAGAGACAGCAGGAACATCCAAGTTGCAGTAGTTGTAGGGTAGCTACACACAGCTGTCTGCTGTAGAAGGTGGCCCTGGTAAGAGAATAAATAGGTCTAGAAGTTTGCCAAGAGCCGCTGCCATCCTGAACCACCCAAGCACAAGACCGAGACAAGTAGTCGACATGATTATGACGAAGCAGATGGTATGAAGACTCTTTCCTGGCCTCTTACATTCTCAAAGTGCAGAAGGACAATCACGAGACACTGAAACAGAAGCTGCTGATGTCAAACAGGTTGCACTTGAAATGAGAAATAAAAGTTGGTAAGAGAAAAGAAAGCAAAAACCTTAGATTGAGTTGCCAACTTGCAGGAGCTTGGCAGGTTTCAGAAGATCTTCTTACGCCTGACTTCAAATATATGTGCATCCAATCAGCGAAAGAAAGAGACTAACGAGAGCTCCCTGCCGCAGACACCTGCAGCAGACAATGGCTCTGATCTCTGAGGATTTTAAACAGCTGTGCATAAACTTCAAAAGTAATTTGCAGCCAAATTAGTAAATGTCACCCTTCTTCCCACTAGACACAGCATTTTTTCAAAAGATGAAGCATCCGCAGTTAAGCCTGCCATTTTACAAGTTACCAAAGATAAGTTAGGGGGGAAAATGAGGATTGTGATTCACAAGGTTGGGGTGTGGAGTCCAGTGAGGGGTCCAGGACCTTATGAGCAGGGCTTGGCTATCAAACAACACCAGTCACTTATGGCCAGGACTTCTAGGGAAACAAAGTAAGGGAAAGGAACATCTGAAGTCGGTAGCCATCCAACTTCTTGCTCTTCCCGTGGATGCTTTAGAATTAGAATTCTCTTTGCCAAGTGAAAGGCACAAAGGACCAGAGCTGACAGAACACACAGGCAGACTCTCCAGGCCTTCTAGGTGGCTCATAAGAAAGACAATCCCACAGGCTTCTATGTGCTCTCAAGGAGCACCTGCAACAGGAAGGACTAGGTACCCAGCATAAGTGGTCCATTTTCCCAACTGCCTGTCAGAGAGCAGTTCTCATTTGCTCCACTCCCAAACCCCATACACAGACTGGTGTCATTACAGAATAATCCGATTAGCACCAAGTCCAGCCCACATAGTGGCAGAGCAGTCTGGAGGACAAGGCAGCTCTGTGGCACTCTCCTTACAGAAACGACCAGAAGCCCATGTCCACTGTTTACGCCTGCCTTTCAGAGTTAAAGCCACTTTCACATTGACCTTTGTGGCTCTTAAAAATCCAATAAAAAACAGTGATTTTATTTAACAAACAATATTGCATTAATATGTACCCACCCCCAAGTCTGGGAAACAATTTTACACAAGATTAAAAGGTTGAGCGCCCAGACTTTGTTTTGCTTGTTGTTTTTATCTATCAAAGCAGTTTTTCACTCTCCTCCAGACCCTTAAGAGACACTTAATCTGTTTCAAAGAATGTCACCAGCCCTGTCTTCTGCTCCAGTAAATTCCCAGAAAACGGGGTGTTTTCTGTGGACAGGTTGCCATCTCCAGAAAACACCTTTCCGTACCAGACTATGTAAACATTTTGGCGAAGAATGCACAAACTTTCCACGACTTCCCTTCTCTCAGTCCCCACTAGTTCAGGGGAGAGGGAAAAGGAGAAGGAAGGAGGAGGCGCCCCCTCACCCCGACCGGGCCGCGGCGGCCTGCACCCGGCCAAGGTCGCCAGTACACAAGAAACCAAGGTGTGGCGGGGAGCCCCAAGTTTGCTTTGGCTCGAATTCTTTTTCGATTTCGTTCTCACCCCGCGGCAGCCCTCGCTCCTTCCTGGAGCAGCTCCAAGGCACCCCCGGGTGGCCCTTCCCGCTCGGGTCCTGGCACCTGCAGCCGCAGCTCCCGGCCGTGGCACTGCGCGCGGGGGTCCTACCTGGTGGCGCGGCCGCGGTCCGAGCGCGGTCCCTCTGTGCTCCGTGGCTCGGGGACTGGCGCGGGCCGGCGGGCGGTAGGTGCGCCCCAAAGGTGGCTCCGGCCAGGGGGCGCTCGTCACTGTCCCCGCCGGGCCCAGGGGACTCGGGGACCCTGGCTCAGACTCAGCCGCGCACCGCCTGAGCCCGCTGATCGCCTTCTGCCGTCCCCCTGCTCGTCCTGTCCCCACCCCCCATCCTCACTCCTTACTGGCCACTTGTCGCTCCACTGCGACCTGGACCAGAAGGCGATGACAGGGTAGGATGGGACAACCCCGGCGGTGACGGTGCTGCAGGCAGCGCGGAGCAGGGGCGCAGCAGCCTCAGCCACCTCTGAGTGCGGGGAAAGGGGCGCGGGACCACACGCCTTCTCTTCTCACTGAACTGAAAACCTAAACAAGAATCCGGGTGGGGGTGGGGAGGGCAGGCTAAGGTCCTTCTGGGAGAAAGAACTGTGTCTGTTTAATCGTTCTCACACTAGAAGGGACTTGCAAACGTTGCTCATTTTTACAATTACCACCCGAGGAGGCTTAGGCACATTCTGTCCTTGGGATAACGGTTTCTAGATTTCGTGTTCCTGTTATTTTGATTTTATGTACACATCTGCACATTGTTGTTTTATACACAGTTTCCAAAGTTGAGCTGCTTTAAATTTCACAGTCTTGGAAGCTGCAAAGTTATGTCAGAATAGTGCAGCTCTCATCCTGGGACTCTTTATGCCTTTTGCTAACACTAATGATGAGGACAAATAGAGTACTATGCCAGAGGATTGGTTTAGAAAATTATGTCTGGTTACCAATAGGATTACAAGACGATTTCCTTTCAATGGAGACACCAGAATATGAAAAATATACCTGGCTATTGGGCTGAGAAATCAAGCAATAATTCTTTTTCTCTCTCCCTCTCCCTTCCTTTTTTTTCTTCCTTTCCTTCTTCTCTTTCTCTGCCTTCTTCCATTAAAAAGGTACAAAAGAGCCACACCTTGGGTTAGTAGGTTTCTGATCATGGAATTATACAATGTCATCTTAAAAAGACTTCAGAGTACTGTCAGTTGCAAACTTTTAATTTATAAATGGAAACATGAAGGTCCAGAGTGTTTGGTGATTTGGTTAAATCACTCTGGACTGTGCTGAAAAGGCACTCTAATCTCTATGAATCCAGCAAAGCCAACACACACATGTTGTAAGACTAAAACATATTCTCTTAAAATTAGCCTCCCTTCTGACATGTGTGTTGGTACACTTCTGTAATCCCAGCTACTTGAGAGACAGAGATAGGAGGATCACAGTCAGAGGCCAGCCCAAGAGAAAGCATGAGACCCTATCTGAAAAACAAACTAAATGCAAAATGGACTGGTGGCGTGGCTCAAGGAGTAGAGAATTTGGCAAGCAGGAGGCCATGAGTTCAATCCCCAGTACCACAAAATAAATAAATAAATAAATTAGCCCCCTTCTACTTGTTAATATCTAAGGAACACCGTACTGACCCTTGATCCAGGATCTTACAATACAGAGGCTGCACTTGGAATATTCTAGCCCAGAGATAGAAGGGTGCTGGCTCATCTTGACATCGCCAGAGCCTAGTACATAGTAGGTCCCTGTTATATTTTGGCTACTAATGGGGAAAAATGTCTCTATGTCTGGGAGTGAGGTGACAGAGCTGAAGGAATGATTCCCACTGTCTTGTCCCTGAGACGGCAGAGGGGAAACTTTCTTCATTCAAAATACCTTCTGCAGCCGTCCTACAATGGAGCCTGTTAGATCAAGAAGAAGGACGGGCAAGCTGACCGTGGCCATTGTGACTAAGAGATAATAAACTCCTCATTATTCATGTCTAGGTTTTCTACTGACAATTGGAGAAGGGGGTTTTCTACACATTTCTATAGGCTGAAAGCCCATAAGTCAGTGACTTTAATAAAAGCTTCAAGTGATGATGCTGTTAGGTATCTAGTAAGTACTGGCATTCCAGGCAGTGTTCATTTAATCTTTGTAAAATCTCATGAAGTAGCTACTGTCATCATCGTCTCCATTTAACAGATGAAAATAATGAGATTTAAGAAGAATGTGGAGGATCCCACAACTTGGAAAGTATAAAACCGGGAGGCAAACCTTGAGCAGTCACAAGCATGTCTCTCAGGCACCATGGAGTCATGCCTCCATTTTTTGACACCACCTTCAGTTTTCTGCTTTTCCCTCTGTGGGACATCTGGCCTCTGAAGGCCTATGCTTCTCGAATATTCTATGACCACATACTATTAATATAATACTATATGATAATACTATATATTAATGGAAGCCTCTTCATCTGAAGTTGGATCTTTTAAAACAATATTTATCATCTATCCCAGAAAAATGATTTTTTTGTCTTAATATTTTATTTAGAACCAACAAATCCGAAACTGATCTTGGTACACGTTAGGTGGAGTGGGAACCTATACTTTTCGGCCTCCCTGAGCTGCCAGGTCTTTCTGTTTCCTATCAGAGACTCTGGTTTTATACACTTGGCTGCTGCTCTGAAGTTCTCCACACCTTTGTTTCCTGGAAGAGGAAATGGCATTTCCGGGAGAGGATGATGTGTGGGTGGTGAGGTTCCACTCATTGTGTTAAAAACACCCCAACTTTCAGTTGCGAACTTCTTTTCCTCCTCAGTATCTGCCCTAAGGTTTCCTGGAATCACACTGAGTATAGAGTATGGGGCAGCAGCTTTTTTTGGTTAAGTTCAGCTGGGAATGATGACTCTCCTTCTCTGGATCCATGGCTTCCCTCCAGTGAAGGAACGGGGGTTCCCATGCAACTTGCCCCTGGAACTCTTGCAACCCATTTTCCTCCAGCTTGGGATTTAGAAGACAGCCTGAGACATCACTTTGCTTTGCTTTTGGACCTAATTGAGGATGATGCTCTATCTCCCACGGAAACCACCTCTTGCACCCTTCTGTGAGATTAACCTCCGCAAAGGATTTAGGATAGAAAGTACAAGGCAAATGTTTCTTGTGCACCTCAATTTGGAAAAGGATGGCATTTGAGGAGAAGTAGAATATGACAGCAGAGATAATTTGAGCACACTGTTATTTAACAAGGACATTTCTGTCTCTGCAGAAGGTCACCACTTGGAGGAAACCAGTTTGGACTACTTTATAAGCAGTTTGACCATCCAGCTACCCATTTTCCCAAAGCCTGGAAGAGATAGTTTTTAAAGTGCACTACCTGAGTCCCCTGAAGAATGAGCACAGAATTAGAGAACAATGATCTATCTTAACCAAAGACTCGAGCAACACGTGAAGTCTAATACAGATTTATCCAGAAAGTGTCCAAATCATCGTAAGAGCTTTGGGTTAAATGAAAGAGGCACAAACAAACAGGTATTTTAAGTTCACAGCCTGGACAAGGGAAAGGGAGGTACTTGCTTTTTTTTTTTTCTTTTCAATTCAACTGTTGTGTTTCAGGTGAAAATTGTTATTACCAGAAGAGAGTTTTAAACCCGGAAGCAAAAAATAGTCCTCCCATTGGGGAGTAAATGAACATTGATTACTGTTGCTGATAGGATTAGTGTCAACTCTTGGAAACCATGAGGGGAAAAGTGAAAGGTGAATACAAACTTTAACCTGAGGTTCAAAAAGGAAAAATGGTCATAATGCATTTTTGGAATTTCATCATTTGAAATAGTTATTAGATATACTTAGTAATGTTAAGCTACTTTCTAATCTTAGGTAAAGAAAGGGAGGTAAGTATTATTTCTTTATTTAAGAAAGGTTATGATGAGGATGATGAACAGATATTAGTTAATATTTCCTGTGTATTTCCTAACTGTTCAGGATGGGGAGTTAAACACTTTATTTTAATTATTTCATTTGATTCTTACAAGTCCCTTGAGATTAGGAATATCCTTAAGTTTAGAGATGAAATAATTGAGCTTTTGAAGTTAAGCAAATTACTCCCCAGTTTCATCTAGCCAGTAAGTGGAAGGGTAAGAGTCGTGCATTGTTTAATTGACCCTCAGATCCGTGACTTTTTGCCATCATACACACAGAAGCAAGGCAAGAGTTGAAATTATAGCCTGCCCATTAAAACAGTAAAAGGATCATTCATGTGTATTTATACAGCTATCACAATTAATAAGATATTCTTACAGCAAAGGAGTTCTTGTGTGTATGGATGGCCAATGTGTGAAGTATAAGGTATCACAATGCTCACTTAATAATAAAACCACAAAACATGAATTAAGCTGCAATCCTTGATGACACAGTACACTTGGAATAGGATGCTTTTCCTGAGCATCAATTATCATTTTATTATCAAATAGTGAAATTGAGTGTGCAAAGTTTTCTTTTGTCTTATTTTTAAGATGGGCAGTTGTGAAAGCACAGTTTTGGCACTTGTTTCAGATGTGGCTTCAGAAATCTGCAAGTACCGACTTTGTAAAGTCAGCATTGCAGTGAAGAGAGTCTAATTGTAGCATAAGCATCTGAACCAGACAGTGGGTGATTATATTTTCACTGTTGTTTTAGCACAGATTCAAGTAATAGAATTAACTAAGTCTTAATGGGAAAATCAGTGTGAAAGCAGACAGTCCAATATTTTAAAAGATTCACAGATACAGTCCTGGATTTGGAAAGCCCAGGGACACACACCAGGCACAATAGGTATAGCCCAAATAGTTATAGTTGTAAATTCTTGTTTAAAATTAAAGAGGTATTATCCGAGAGACTGTTTGAGTGATTCTTTTTCTCCCAGGGGAAAAGCAGTGTGAAAGCCTGAAAGACCATACATCTTGAAGAGGATTAACATAACTGAGAATTACTCTGGGAATCCAGGAGAAAGAAGTCAAGGTGAACTCGTCTATTGTATTTATAAATTTGATTATTTCAGTGCTATAATTTGACATAATGTAATAGCTCCAGGATTTGAATATCTACCTTTAAAGGGATGCTACTTTCAAGTCATTCATTTTATATCTCAGTTTCTTTTTTTGAAAAGGTAAATGCTCTACTTGCTTCTCATTGCTCCCTTCTGTTCCACCCATTCCCCTGTGACAAATACTGCCTTTAATACCCATGTATACACACACACACACACACACACACACACACACACGCAAATTAGGAACTGGATTTTTCATTTTACAAAAAGTATGTTGGTAAAATAAAATTAAAAAAAAAAGAAAGAAAGAAAAACTACCAAAAAAAAAAAAGTATGTTGGACCACATGGGATAGTCTATCAGGCTTATTCCATTTATGAAATTCTGAGAATAAATGTCAAATTAAATAAAGTATTATTTATCAGTGATGAGTGCACTGCAATTTATTTCTCATGGTATTTGATGCTATTTTTAATAGTCACTGATATAAATTTTTTTCAAATGCCCTCAAAGAGGTCATATACCTATGGCTTCAGGAACTGGCTAGAAACCCTTAGTGTCTTCTTTGTATACAGCTTTTTTCATGATGATTTCAACCATTCACTTTGAAGGAAAAAATTTGTAGGACAAAATTGTAAGGATTTTTTCTCTTGGCAGATAGAACAGTGGTCTAATGAGAATAAATTGGCCATATTTGACTGCTGTGGGGTCACTCAGAGGTGTACTGTCTCTGCCCCAAATGCAAACATCTTACCTTCAAAATATTTTGACCTAAATGAAAGCCTTGGAATTGATTATTTTTTTCAACTTGAATCTACTCTTATATTGTAAATCCATCCAAGTTGGCATTTTCTCCACCCTTTCCCCTCATTTTTTTTTTGTTGTTGTTCATCACTAAACAAAAGGGTGAAAACTCTGTGGCTGGGATTCTGCCTGTCATTCACAGAGTAGGTGTTTTATCTACATGTTACTCATTAAAAAAAAACAAACCACACCTGGATCTGTTCAGTACACAAATTAACTGTACATGATAATTAAAGAAAAATCTGTAATATTTACATAATCGTATCAATAGCTTTTATTTGTACATCAAGGCAACATTAACAACAATGAAGAACAAACTAACTCTTTTTTATGTGCCTTCTGAGTACTTGGGGATTGATACTTGAAGACTGAAAATGACCAAAGTCAGAAGATACGTACATTTTTCTAGATAGACTGAAAATGTCATGCATTGTTTCACAAAACCACTTTCCCCACATGTTCATTTTGACATTCATAAAGGGGAGGGAAGATGTTCATATCAAATCCTGGCAATTTCATTGGGAAGACTGAATAAACAAAACCTCTAAGATGTTTTAAACCCGATAAACTTCCCAAAGAAAATGATATACTATAAATTAATAGCCACCCTTTATAGAGTGTTTATATCATAGTATTTTATACATTTGAGCTTATTGAGCTCTTATAGCAATCTTATAATATGGGCACTATTCACATTTTGCAGATGAGATTGTTGAGGCTCACAGAGTGTAAAAATATCCAAGATCACAAAGCAAGTGAGTAGGGAGCCAGAACCTGGGTAAACTCCATTCAGAGCCTGGCTACTAATTACAGAGGCTACAAATAGGGGTCATAATCCACGTGAAGATTCTGAAAAATAACGTTTATTATTTTTCTTATGCTAAAAATTATGCATTCAAACACAAACACATGCACGCACACTGACACTCATACTCCCACAAAACTAGACATTAGAAGAAAGTGAAAAAAGAATAGCCCTAACTCCACAAGCCAAAGACAGTTTAGTGTCTAAGCTTAAATCCTTTTTCCTATGTATAATTTTTAGAATTGTTTGATTTTCAAAATGACTTTTATTGGTTGTCTAATTATTAAGTAAAGAATAGTCATCATAGAAATTTTGAAAATGATAAAAAAAATAGATAAAAGAAGGCCAGGAGTTTGGAGGCATGGCTCAAATGGTGGAACACCTGCCTTGCAAGTACAAGGCCCTGAGTTCAAATCCCCGTATAGCTAAAAAATAAACATATATAAAAGAAATTTTGAACAGTGGTAGTCTCAAGATATGAAGGTTTAAACATCATATTTTACCCTAGTCATGGCTGAGGTCACATTGTCTTGAGACTGAAGCTACTTCTTGACCTCAGATGGTTTAGAGGTTAGTCTATAATGTCGTTTTGTAAGTTGTTTCTTTGGTTTTAACTTAAGATGTTGATATTCTCTTTTTCTGGAAATTACAAATATGTTTTCTGAGCAAATAATTAAAATCTTCTGGTTGCTCTGAATAAGACTAGCTGCAGGACAAAATTCACACACACACAGACACACAGACACACAGACACTTCAAAGAATGAATGATACTGTTTAAATCAGCCTTTATCACTCCACAGAATGACTTAAAGCTTTTTTTTTTTTACTTCAACTGCAGCTTGTCTGAAGCAGTTTCTTCTGCGTGGCGAGAGAAACCCGCCAACTCCATGTTTACCAATTGGACCATGAGCTTTTAACTAGAGAAAAGGCTTTTGGTTCAGACTAAAGCAATTGCTACTGAGTCACCAGATTAAGTGAATAAGTTTGGGTGCCCCATGGATCTGGGCTGCAGAAATGGGGATTAAATCTTAGTTACACTGAGAAAGTTCTCTCCAAGCAAAAGGCAACAGGACTGTTTCTTGAGAAACTTTACATCATGTGACACGACCTGCCAAGGGAACTGAAAAAGACTTAAAAAGTTAAGACGTCAAGAAGGCTTCTGGAAAAACTCAGCAAGGTGCCCCAGACTAGCTCCAGTGACTATGCAACCAAGCTCCCACTCTTCCTAGGAACACAGTTAAAACCTGAGCTAAAGAAACTGAGAAATACATAAAGTCTTTGACCTAAGTGTTGAATTTGCTGTCTTCTGCATGCCCCTAGAATGGCAAAGCACTGAGTTTCCAGAAAACTCTTGCATGTGTTTTTGTTACCCCAAACCTCTCCATATTCTCTTAACTTTTTCAGAATCACATTTTCTCTCTTCTTTGCAATTGTATTTGGAAAGAATGCAGATCTCCTCCATGGTTTTAAACTTAAACTATTCCATTTATTTCTTAGCTGTGAAAGAAAATTCCCAAAATACCATGCTCTACTTTGTAAACCCTGGATATAGTGACTCTTTTATGCACATTATGAGGAGGGTGTGGAGAAAGTGGAATTCTCATGCAAATTACTACAACTTTGGAAAATAGTTTCACAATATCTGCTAAAGCTGAGCATAAACATAGCTGGTGATCCAGATATGTCACGCTACACAAAGCACAAAATGTGTGCAGATGCAGTACATGGCAGGTACATGTTCATTCTAGCACTGTGCAAAATCACCCCCAACTGTCAACAACCCAAGTGCATCACAAAACTGTGGTGCTTCAATTGAAACCATACAGCAATGAACATTAGCCAGCCAATGCTGCAGGTGACAACATGAATAAATCCTGCAGATGTAATACTGAGTAGAAGAAGCCAAGTTCAAAAGACTACGTGCTATAGAATTTCATTTATGTACAACTCAAAAGCAAGTCAAATTAATTCATGTGAAGTCAGGGCAGTAATTATTATATTTAGGGAGGTGATTGGTGGTGGGTCTGGGAAGGGCATTAGGGTGTTTATGGTGACTTTTCTTACTTGATCTTGCTGGATGGTTACATTGGCATATCCACTTCAGTAAAAATTCATGTAGCTATCCATTTGTGATTTGTGTAGTTTTCTGTGTGTGTTGATTCCAATAAAAAGAATTTTTAAATGGACTATTACACTGTTGTATCATGTTGTTGTATAGCCAGAAGCAGGATCAGCCTCAGAGTACAGTACTCAGGGGGCAAATGTGTAAATTCTTCCTTCTCTGCTATTCACAATGCCAACAAGTCAAGCTTAATGACTACGTGACCTCAATAAGTCATTGGTATTTTTTGAACCTCTTTTTCTTATTTGGTAAGTTAAAGAGTTAGATAAAATGTCTTCAGGCTCTCCTGACCCTCACTGGTATGGTTCTAGACTTCTCCTCTATGAGACTCCAATCACTAATCACTCCTTCTCCCTCTCCCCTCCCCCTACTTCCCCCCTCCTTCTCTTTCTCTCCCCCCACCCTGCTCCCAGATTTGTTGTCTATTACACTTTTCTCTGTGCCTTCTCTCAGTGCTTTTGGTTTTCCAACACCGTGTCTTTTCCACAGCAAATGATTCTTCAGAGGCAAAAGTTCAGTGAAGAAATGTTTAAAATTCACATTATAGTCAATGGATAAATTCCTCAAAGATTAAAAAAGTAGAATCTATCCCAACTTGGGTAAAAGACAGTTCATGCCAATTTGGAATCCAGTAACAAAAATGCACAAAGAGCAAATGGGCACAACCTGTGTTTCTATTTGGAGGTAGCTGGTCTCTGAGAACAAATATTACCAAGTAACATTCACAAAATATGAGTGAAGTGAGAAAAGGTCATTCAGGAACTTTTAATTTGAGGTAATTAATTTTTTAGTGATGGGGTCCTGAGGGTGGATAAAGACGATTTCAAGGAAGAATTGGATGACAAGGATTTTTCGGCTTGTGTTCAAACTTGCTCAGTCATACTTAATGGTGCATCTTTAGTGAAGGACAGAAGGAAAGACTCTTAACTGCTTAATATAAATATCCTTTAGAACAGCCTCCTTTTGCTTTATTACTGTTTTTTCATTTCTCTTGGCTCACCACAAAGCATTTTGATCTGTGGTTTTCTCCCAAGTGATTGGAACGATGCCAGCCTTCTGAGACGGGATCACCCTCGTCTTCCTCCTGGCTTTTCATTATGTGCTGTACTCGGACAAAACTGAGTTTTGAGCTGTCAAATGCATGATCAGGTGCTGGAATAAGATTCTTTGAAGAAGCAGTCACACGAGGGTCCTGGCCCTGCTAGCCAGCTGTGCTGAGGACAGAGCAAGGACAGTGGGGGACAGAGGAAGGCCTGTGTGGCCAGGTTGGAATGGATGTCTGGTCACTGGTTGATCCTGTCACCTGGCTGCACCTTTGGTCTCTCACTGGCATCCTCCTTTGAGTGTTGAAATGCACACTTTTTATTATCATAGGATGACCGTCAGGTTACAGCAGGATCGGGGGTATCTATGGTGTTGCTGAGGAAGACAGAGACATGAAGGGAATTTGTTTTAGAAAACAAAAATATGAAGTTGTTTGGTTTTTGATTCAGCCTGGAAGCCCCATTACGTTCATCACCTTCAACAGCTGCACATCCTTGTAATAAATGTCTCCCATTCGCAAATACAGTGCTTGCTCACCTTGTAGGGCTTTGCATATTTTACTACATTCCTCACCTTATGGGTGAGAATTACTTTAAATAAAACAGGTGAATGTTCCTTACTAAATACTCAATCTTCTCCCCCCTTTTCTGAAACTCTGTTGTACTAAGAAGAGAGACTGTGTGATGTGTGGAAAACTAATGGACTTCAGAGTCCCAGAGCCCCAAATCCGTGATTTTGGTCATGTCTCTCCATGGGGAGGCCCATCATTTTTCAGGGCCTTAATTTCCTCAGCGATAAATAATACAATGGGCTAGAGACTGATGCTTTTCCCTGGAAAAATCCATAATATCCAAAAGAACCTAACACTCACAAATATTTGTATTTTTTTTTTTTACTCTAGATAATGAAATGTGATCTGTATTCAGGCAAGATTGACTGACTAAAAATTACACCTTCAATTTACTAGAATTTATTGCTGTTGCAGCAGTAGAAAGTAAGACATTTCCATTTCCAGTGACAGGTACCTTGTATTTTAAAGTCTTCCATTTCATTACTCACTTTATAATGTTTTCACTGAAACACATGTGGTTTTCAAACACAGGAAAGACAACATGGTAACCTGTGGTTATAATTTCCACTAGAAAATAGAAAAAGTGTAGCTCAGAAAGAGTATTTGTGGGGAGTTCCTTTCTGCTTTAAACATGTAAACCCACGTGAGAAAATTTTTTCTCTTGAGAAGAATGTTGTTAAATGCTGCAATTTTCAAAAGTTGTTGGAAAACAAGGCCTTGTGGCTCTGGTGTCAAGACTGCTGCAGAGTCAAACGACTGTGCTGAACAGATGAAGGCTTCAGGGTCATGTGATCATTTCTACCACCTATCTAGCCTTAAGGATGCCTCCTCAGCTCCCACTTGAAGCAAAATGGCCTGTGAAAACAGCTCTCTCTTGTAGCATTTGACCTTCATAGCTATTTCCAACACCTGTTCTGCCTTTTGCCATGCATGGTTAGTTGAGGTCACTCAGTGGAATTAATTCTCCAAAAAATATTTATAGAGCACCAACAAGTCTGAATTTCATAGTAAATCAGAAAACCAAATCGCAAATGAAAAGACACTTTGAGTTTCTCAAATCTAACTATCAAACGCTAATTAGAGATATGGAGCAAGTTTTATGTAAATTCTCTTTTCACAAGGCACTGTTATTTTAACTTTGTAAATACTCTCTGTAGAAAGTTGGGGTTGCCTAACAATGGGGGAGTAAATACTCTTGACTAATTGTCACTCATTGGTTGAAGAAACCATTTGCTCAACCTGTAAGAGAAGAATGTGTCAACAGAGTCATAAATACAGGTGATTTAATGTTTTCTACCAGTTGCCATCAGATAAGAATACAGGGAGTGAAGCTCTTTCGTGTAACAAGAGGAACAGATGCCCATGCTGTTCACATGTGAGCTGGGTTCAGAGGCTCGAAAGTAGCATGTGCAGAACCAGAAGGCAGGAGGGAGTGCTCTGAGTCTTTCAAGCTCTTATCTGCAGCAAGCAAGATCTTATCAAGGTGGGCATGTTTACACACAAGCACAGGGGGGTCTGGTGAAACCTGGGCTTCTACAGATACAGGAGGAGTTGGGGCACACTCCTCACCCTGGTTCTGCTGCCTGTCCTCAGCATGGCAGCCAGAAAGACTGCATTTCTAGCATAATGTGCTACTCTTAGGCCCAACTCTCCAGGCTCTCTTTTTCCCTGTGCAATCTGCCTTAACCCTCTCCCCACATCTGTCGCCCACTCATTTCCTCACTCAGCTGCACAAGGCCTCCTTCCAGGCTTGGTCTGAGTGTCTATTTCTCTGTGATTTTCCTGCTGACCTAGGACATGGCTTTTGTGCTGCCATCTCCAAAGCCCTGTGCAAGTGACAGGTTTAGAATGAACCCTTTCTATAATATGCTGAATGAAAGAAGCAAGACACAAAAGAAGCTAGAAAAGTACAGATTTTGTTTGTAAGAAATACTAGAGCAAGCAAAACCTATCTAGGGTGGTAGAAATTAGATTAGTGTGTTCCTACCTCGGGGGGTGGGAGGAGGTGGAGAGTGACTATAGGGGAGTGACTATAGAGAGTGACTTTTCTGGTGAGATGAAAATGTTCTATCGCTTTTTACCAAAAAAAGATTATATATTTGTTTGTTTTAATTGACAAAAAAAAATACATTGTACAATATACTTTGAAATATGCATACATTGTGGAATAGCAAAATAAGTTCATTAGCATGCATTATCTCAGATACTGACCATTTATTTGCGATGAAGTCACTTAAAATTTAGCAATTTTCAAGTGTACAGCACATTGTCCTGAACTGTAAACACCATATCATGATAGATCTTTGAATTCTTGCCCTCTTGATGAAATTTTGGTATCGTACATCTTGACTGCGATGACAGTGACGTGGTTTGTATTTAGCAAAAGTCATTGACTTGTGCAATTAAAATGTGGGAATTTTATTGCAAGTAAGTTATTCCTTAACACAATTGATAAAAATAATAAACCTAATGAAATAATTTAAATCTTTGTGCTTATTCTTGAACAGAGAAAAGGTGTTAAGCCACCATCTCAATATATTTTAGGAAGCTGATGCAACTTTCCTATTGTGGTGCAAATACACCATGAGATCTATCCTGATAACAAAATTTTAAGTGCACACTACAGTTCTCTTAACTAGAAGGACCATGTTGTACAGCAGACATCCAGAACTTTCCAATCCCATCACTGAAATGCATTCAACAGCAACTCCCCATTCTCTCCCTCTAGTCACTGGAAATCGTGTTGTAGTTTCTATTTCTTTTTTAGATACCTCACAGAAGTGAAGGCAGGCAGTAATTGTTCCTCCTGGAAAAATTTATTTCATTTAGTAAAATGCCCTCCATGCTCATCTATCTTGTTGCATATAGCAAGATTTCTTTCTTTTTTAAGGCTGAATAATATTTCATTGTGCACATTTCCTGCATTTTCTTTATGCCTTTGACTGCCAAATTTGAAAGAGACATACAGAAAAGGATACACGCCATTATTAATGATGAAGCATTAAATTTTTTTCTCTTGATATTAGGAACAAGACAAAAATACTTGCTTTTGCCACTTTTCAACATTGTACTGGAAGTCTTAGCCATCAGAATAGGACAAGGAAAGAAATAAAAGTAGAAAGAAATAAATGGAATGGAAAAATAACATCTATCATTATTTGCATATGAGACAACTGTGAACAAGAAGACTGAAAACAATCTATAAATAAATTAAGAGGTTGAAAGTTTAGGAAGGTTTTTATACACAAAATCAACACGT